CTATACAGATTCTGTCCATAGCCCACAACATTTAATTTAACAAAATATGACCATGATTAATGTCGTATATATATATATATACAATGGATGCTTTTAATCTTGCCTATTCTCACCACACCTTCAGTGTCACAAATCTACTTCCTCCTCTCCTATTCCTCTTACTATTGGGGTCCCCCAAGGTTCTGTCCTTGGACCTCTCCTATTCTCAATCTACACCTCTTCCCTGGGTCTCCTGATAGCTTGCCATGGTTTCCAATATAATTTCTATGCTGATGACACAAGAATCTATCTCTCTACCCCTCAGCTCACCCCATCAGTTCCTCATGTATCACTGATTTACTAACAGACATATCAGACTGGATGTTACATCACTTCCTCAAACTCAATCTATTCAAAACTTAACTCCTAATATTTCCTCCCCCATATGACTCTTTTCCTGATTTCTCTGTCAAGATCAATGGCATAACTATCAACCCGTACCCACATGCCAGGGGACTAGAGTAAACCTGGATTCTGAACTGTCCTTTCAGCCCCACATCCAATCCCTGACCAAATCATGCCACCTCAACCTCCACAACATCTCCAGAATATGTTCCTTTTTAACCAATGACTCCACAAAGCTTCTAATTCACTCCCTGGTTATCTCTCATCTCGACCACTGCAACTCTATCCTCATTGGATTACCTTTACATAGGCATTCCACTTCAGTCCATCATAAGTGCTGCTGCTAGACTCGTTCATGTTACCAACCATTCAGTGTCTAGTACCCCTCTTTGCCAATCCCTTCACTGGCTTCAGCTCACCAAACAAATAAAATCCAAAGTACTAACAACAACCTACAAAGCCATCTACAACTCTTCTCCCAGCTACATCCTGTTCTCTATTTCCAATGTGATCTCCTCCCATGCTCACCTCCAGGACTTCTCCCAAGATTCTCCCATCCTAAGGAACTCCCAACCCCAATGTGTATAACTATCACCTAATCTACCCACCTTTAGATGATCCCTGAAAACTCTTCTCTTTAAAGAAGCCTATCCTGGTTCTAACTAATACTCTGCATTTTTTTACTTTCTCTATCAGCTCATCCCCCACAGCTATTAACTTTTGCATTACTTGACCCTCCATCTTAGATTGTAAGTTTCAACGAGCTCTGATTCCTCTTGTACCAAATTGTGTTGAAACTGTCTGCCTTCATTTTGTAAAGCAATGAGCAAACTGTATAATATTAATAAAATACAAGGGATGCTTTTCATTCTTAGTCTGGAAAATAAATATTTTAAAGGACACATACATTTTAGGTGTTACTATATCAGTAGAAAAATTACTTGGCACCATTCATAACCAACATTTCTATGCCAAAATGTTGGCTCATCCTTGTAGTACTGGTGATAGTAGTCTTGGCAGTTAAATAGATTAAAGATGATAAGCCAAATAACATTTAGGTATAGGAGAAGGGGTAACAGGGTTCAATATACTGTAAGGGTCACATCAACAATTTAATTTAAGGTAGGGATAGATTACATGCTAGTATTAAATTATGTTTTAAAGGTTATTAGATCAGTTACAGGTGTTTTTTTCAGGTTAAGGTAATAATTAATATATTAAGTAGATTAGGTATAGAGGTCTAATTTGGTTTAATAATTAATTAGACTTGGGTAAATGGATGGTGTCACTAAAATAAAACTTTATTGTAATTGTTTTGTGTGCAAAGAAAACTTTAAATATTCACCTCTCCTGCTACCTGTAATGATAATCAGTAATGTAGTAAATATAAACCATAAGATAAATATAGGTGCAGCACTTATATACTCAAGACCAGAATTATAGATGAAATGTTAATCGTATGCAAATAAATAATTATAAATAATTATAAAAATTAAGTAATTGTTGATAGTCAAATAAAACCATAAAGTGACAAAGTGCAAATAATGTGCTAGTAAACGATTTCTGCAATATCAATAAAGTGCTAATAAAGTGATAATCGTGAGCACATGACAGTGCTAAAATAACAAAATCATATAAACAACAATTGAATGTCCATAAAGTGATAGTGTGAAGATCCAGCTGAAAATGATCTTAAGGTTAGTGCTTCACACGCTATGACGATTATTCGGTGATGTGCCAGGAATGTGTTAAGATTATGCGTAACATTAATACACATTATGCGTAACATTAATACACATTTGTAAATAATGTGGTCAGACGGAGGTCCCCTTAAGGATGTACACAGCCTGGTCTGGTAAGAGAAATCCCCTTCCACTGGGTTATCTGCAGCACCTCAGCCGTTCTCCGAGATGGGCTCATCTTCAACCACCTCCTCCTCCTCTTTAGGTCTCCTACAGCCTCACCAGCTCAACACACACAAACTCGCCGTGAGAGCATCCCCCAACCAAACCGTCAGTCATTGGATGCTGTTCGCATGCTCAGCCCCAAAAACCGTCTCCTATTGGCTTTCTTTCTTTTCTTTCAGCGATTCGGCCCTCTAACTGGCTCCCTCTGTCTTCCCCCTTCGTGACGTAGAATTAAACAGGGTAGGGTGCACAGGAAAAGGCATCCGCTTTCGCCGCTAGAATCGCTGTTGGTTGGCAAACGCAGCTAAGTTCAAGGTTTCCTGGGACATGTAGTCTTTAGGAGGAGGCAACCACGTGATGTATCCCGCACAGGTCAATAGCTTTTGCTACTCTCTGTACTGTTCTTGAAATTGTTTGTGCCCCAGAGAAAGGTCACATGTACAAAAATAATGTTCATAAACTGCATGGACTTTAAGCATTATGGGGCTTAGTACAGAATTGTGTTTAATTTTATTTTAAAGTATTTTATTTGGGTATTGCAATTTGTCTACATTGAAGAAACTCCCTAAATAATAATACAATGAATTACACCCTAAACCAGAGATTTTCTTTTCACAAGTTGTCTCTTCTTTCTAACAATAAATGTCTTATTGATATAAAATTATACAGCTCTGTTCCATACGCAATACGGAGTAGAAGTATATAAAAAGTTAAAATAACTATAATAATCATTTTTTAAATCATTTATGTTAAATAACATATTTCCTTTATCAAAAATGACACATAACTGAATATATAATAATGAAACTATAATTTGCCAAAAACGTTACTAATACAAAACAGCTTTTTTACAAATACGCAGGAGGTTACAAGTATGCTATTGTATTTGAAAATGCCTAAAAGAATGTATTCTTCATAAATATTGTATGATGTCTTTAAGAACAAATTATTGTCCTTTCGTGAAACAGTATTTGAACAGAGTGACTGAATACTTAATTTAATCATCACTAACAAACAAATTAAGTGTATGATATACAATTACAAAAGAAACTTTGCCAAAAACAATATCAATATTCCAAAACTAAGTGTCCAAAAACAATATCAATAATCCAGAATTAAGTATCCATATTTGATCCGTGATTTCACACTCTTTCCAGTGATGTAGACAAAAATGGCTCAATTCGCCACTACTGCGTATTTGTACCAACCATGCGTGCACCTCCACTAGCTGTGCTAGTTCACCTGGTAGATATGGCCAAACCATTAAGTGAGGTCATAAGTAGCTTGTGTCCCTTTGTTTGGACTTAGACTGGATGGGATTATTAATCTTCAGAGTTAGGGATCCCCTCACTTCCTCAAGACTCTTCCTCCATTGGTATACAGTATATGCCATAAAGAGTAATGAAAACATAGTCCCTTATCTTATTTTAAAACATTTATTAAACACAGGTATTTCACTCACATATAAATGCTGATAAAATCGCTTTAAAAACTGATCCACAGTGTTTGCTAGCTTTCAATTCAGTATACTTGCTGTGTGACTGCATGTCTTCTTGAGCGTCATGACGTGAGATCCCCTCCCCTACACGTTGCACCACCGGGTCATGTGACTTCATCAGTGGAGAACTATTGTGACCCAGTGGTGCAATGCACACAGCAAGTATACTGTATAATTTTATACTGTATAATATATATATATATTTTTTTTTTTTTTTTTTCAAGGCTGGGTTTTGGGTTATTTTTTTTTTCCTTTTGTTTGAAATTAAAGTGGGATAAAAGACATCTGAAAATGCAATACACCATATGCATTATTTCACCTTTAACCCAGCATACTGTATGTGGGTCCTGTCCTGGTATGTTGTGCCCAAAATAAGCAAAGGGCAAATCACTTGTCACTAGTGTTTCCTTTGTTCACACTGCAGCTGATCATTTTCCTATTACTGACATATCATGCTTTTTTCTATATCATTTTTCTGTGTGGAACATGTGTCTTGGTAAAGGCAGGGCTTTTCTTTCTTATGCCGTGGTATCCCTTTGAAACCTGGTGGAGAATATATGAAAATCAATAGCAGAGTTTCAGAAAGCACAGATGCACATAATGAATTATGCAAAAACAAGGTGATCCTTTCACCATAGGTATTCAGGTATGACTTCCCTTCCGGCAAAGAGACAATGAGCAGCACAATAGTGCAGACACATTGTAAATGTACAGATATAAGGCTAAAGGCACAAGAGGAATGAAGTCACGTAATTTTGGATTATGTGCCACTCTTTTTTTAATATGTGTTTTAATCTTTGAATAATACATGTACTATTTTAGCTTTTAACCACTTTCCGCCCTGCCCTATAGTACAATGACGGGCGCAAGGTGGTTCTCTCGTTCTGATAGGATGTCATATGACGTCCTACCATTCTCACTGCCCATGCGCGGCTCAGGGAGCGTGCAGCGGGGCGATTGCCGGTCCGCTGTGTCTGACAGAAAGAGCCGAAAATGTCGGCTCGGTCATGTGATCAGCTGTGTCCAATCACAGCTGATCACATGTAAACATGGGAAATGCCGGTTATCGGCATCTCTCTCCTCTCGAGCTGTCACGCTGACAGCTCGAGAGGAGAGGAGAGACGGTAATCGGTTTTCCGCGGAGGGGACATGTACACTGATCATCAGGGCACTGATGATCAGTGTGTCCTGATGATCAGTGTGGGCCCAGAAGTGCCACCTGTCAGTGCTCATCAGTCAGTGCTCATCAGTGCCAGTGCCCATCAGTGCCACATCAATGCCACATATCAGTGCATACCCGTGCACATCAATGCCACATATCAGTGCCCATCTGAGCAGCTTTTCAGTGTCACCCATCAGTGCCAGTCAGTGCCAACTATCAATGCCAATCAGTGCCACCTATCAGTGCTGCCAATCAGTGCCACCTATCAGTGCCAGTCAGTGTCGCCTATCAGTGCCAGTCAGTGCCGTCTATCAGTGCCAGTCAGTGCTGCCTAACAGTGCCAGTCAGTGCCGCCTATCAGTGCCAGTCAGTGCCGCCTAACAGTGCCAGTCAGTGCCGCCTATCAGTGCCAGTGAGTGCCGCCTATCAGTGCCACCTATCAGTGCCATATATCAGTGTCATGTATCAGTGCTGCCTTTCAGTGCCCATCAGTGATGCCTGTCAATGCCCATCAGTGCAACCTACCAGTGCCTCCTCATCAGTGCCCATCAGTGCCACCTATCAGTGTCCATCAGTGCAGCCTATCAGTGCCCATCACTGCAACCTCATTAGCGCACATCAGTGAAGGAGAAAAATCACTTATTTACAAAATTGTATAACAAAAACTAAGAAAAAACGTTTTTGTTTCAAAATTTTCAGTGAGTTTTGGTTTGTTTAAGAAAAAAAATAAAAATCCCAGAGGTGATTAAATACCACCAAAAGAAAGCTCTATCTGTCTCAAAAAAATTATAAAAATGTTATATGGGTACAATGTTGCATGACGGCGCAATTGTCATTCAAAGTGTGACAGCGCTGAAAGCTGGAAATTGGCCTGGGCAGGAAGGGGGTATAAGTGCCCTGTAGGCTAGTGGTTAATGATGTAATATTTGAGCCACACTTTTGGGGAACTTTAAAATCCCCAGATTTATCCTTGTTTGGTTATATATAAAAATAAGGGGATGCCAATACCTCTACAAGCATAAATTGTCTTATTATTCTTATTCTATATAGTAGTTTGGAAACTTTCCACACTACTAAACTAGGCCCAGGTTCAATTTACCCAACTTATCTCTCTTTAAGCCATAGTATCCCAGGCCCGCTTAGTCAGACACTGTATGCAGAAAATTTTTATAAGTGTAAAATCAGAAATGCATTTCATTACTCAATACAGATTATAAGCTACTAGCCAAAATCATGGCGATCGTATTCAATCCCATATACCCATGCTATTTATCCCTCGCCAATTAGGGTTTTTTTTGCAGCAAACACTCTGCTGTTGGCATCAGAGCAGCCATTGCAGCTACAGAACAAGCTAAACAACAACCTACTTTCTTCCTCCCTTGTTTCTCCTTAGCCTTAATGCCGAGAAAGCTTTTGACAAAATAGACTGGTCTCTCTCCTGAATCACATTCTCTCTGTCCAGGCTTCTGGACATGTCTTCTCTTCCTTCAATACATTTACTAAACCCCCCCTACCTAATTAATCTTGATAACCAATTATCCTCCCTCATACCAATGACCAGAGGCACTAGACAGGGATGCCCTCTCTCTCCTATTCCTTTTAACCTAGCATTAGACCCTTTTATCTGCCTTCTAGAATCTCAACCCACATTTTAAAGTATAACCATGGGCCATAAAACCATTAAAATCATTGCTCTAGGGGATGACTTACTAATATATACTTCTCACCCAGAATCTTCCCTGCCCAGCATATTATACCTTATTACATCCTTTGGTTCAATTTCAGGCTACCTACCTAATTAATCTTGATAACCAATAATCCTCCATAATACCAATGACCGTAGGCACTAGACAAGGATGCCCTCTCTCTCCTATTCTTTTTAACCTAGCATTGGACCCTCTTCTCTGCCTTCTAGAATCTCAACCAACATTTTAGAGTATAACCATGGGCCATAAAACCATTAAAATCACTGCTCTCATCGATGACTTGCTAATATATATTTCTCACCCAGAATTTTCCCTGCCTAGCATATTTTCACTTATTACATCCTTTGGTTCAATTTCAGGCTATTGCAGCAACCTTGACAAATCTAAAGCACACTACCTAACCAATCGTCACAAACCTCCCTGGAGTGACCCTTATCCCTTAATTTGGTGCAAAAAAAATAATTTGTATCTTGCAGTATCCGTACTCCAAAACCTCTACAATTTATACAAAGTCAACATTCCTCCTTTGCTATGTTCCATAAAAGAATCCCTTGCTTTTTGGAAACACTTTAACATTTCTTATAAGGGCAGAATAAGTCTAATAAAAATGGTAGCCTTTCCTAAGCATACTTACATCATGCAAGTTCTCCCCCTGCTCTCAAGTGTATCTATAAAATGTTCTGCTTCACCTGGGACAGCAGGAGAGCAACCTTTGGCCTATGGATCCTACACAACCCTACATGGATCCTACAACAACCCTACAGTAATGGAGGCCTCAATTTTCTGGACCTGGAACTGTATAACCTAGTATCTACACTTTCCATGTGTCCTATAGCAGATCTACTGCTACAGGGCAAATGTTCTGTGAAAAAAACACGTACATAAACATGATTTTGCACTTTCGCTGGGGGGGGGGGGAGGGGTGCACATACCGCCAGGGCACCGTTTCTGCTGTGCAGGTGCCAAGTAAGAAAGCTGTGTCCACGCTATATACACTCACCTGACACTTTATTAGGTATTATTCAAGAAACTGGCCAGAGTTGATGTTTTATCGTCGATGTATAGATGACAGTTTCCTCCTGTGCCAGGGGAGTGAATTCAATCTACTTAATTTTTTTAATACTTTAAACTCCAATGATCTTAATATCAAATTCACGTACCAGTATGACTATGGTGAATTTAATTTCTTGGATCTTACCCTTATCAATAATGGCACTAGGGTTATCACTAAATCAATTTTTAAGAACACAGACAGAAATAGTTATATACCCATGGACAGTTGCCATCATCCATCATGATTAAAAAACGTAACTAAGAACCAATTCTTACGAATGCGTAGGAATTGCGATAATCTGAATGATTTTTTTTCTCCCAGGTGGAAATATTAAAAGACAGATTTGTTAAAAAAGAGTATAATATATCCTCCCTGAATCAAGACATAGAGCATGTCGCCAATTTAGATAGAGCAGAACTCCTCACATCTGGAAATAGAGACAAGCCCATGTGTTTTTGTCCATTCACAAGTAATTTTTCTGTACAGTATAAAGAGGTTACTAGAATTCTCAGAAAAAAACTGGGGAGTTTTAAAAAACGATCCTGTCTTCAGTAACAGTTTGCCTGATAAACCTGAGGTTGCTTTTCATAGAGCTCCCTCTTTGAGACACAAAATAGCACCCAATATCATAAATCCACCAGCTAATGTCTCTGTTTCTTTTGGGATGAAAGGCTTCTATCCCTGTAACAAGTACGTCATTTGCAAGTGTAATGGTATTCGGAAGAGAATGATTAACAATTTCACATCCAATGTCACAGGCAAACTTTATAACGTAGAGTCCCTTATCACATGCAATAGCACGGACGTAGTTTACCTACTTGAGTGTCCATACAAGAAACAATATATTGGTAGCACAACTAGAAGGTTAAGGGACAGACTTAGGGAACATGTCTATAATATCAAAATAGGACTTAAAGAACACTCCCTATCGAAACATTTTAGACATTATCATCATAGAGATCCCACACTGTTGAAATTTATGGGCATAGATTTAATTTGCCCACATTGGAGAGGTAATCATAAGCGACGGGCAGTGGCAATGCTCGAAACAAAATGGATTTTTGAGATGCAAACCCTGTCACCTCATGGGCATAATATCGATATTAACATAAATTGTTTCATAGATAACAGCTGATTATATAGGATTTTATATGCGTTTATATGCATTTTTGAGTCATGGTTCACATTTTTTCTGTTGAACTTATATATATATATTCTCTGCCCCACCTTTTTGGTCTATTATTTATAATTTATAATCACCTAATGAGGTCTAGGGCTCATTTATATTAATTCTCATTTTCATGCCTTTTTATCTGCCATATATTGATGGACACAACGTATCATGTATTCTGGATTAAACAAAAAAATTGCTTCTCCATTTCAATTTTATTTTTTTATTTTAATATTTTTTAGAACATATTTGGTCAATGGTACACATTTTTATTAATAATATAATAATAGTTTTATATAGGTCCATACAACTGTGTTATAAATAGGTTTTGTCAATTTTTATATTATAATTATATTTATTCCACAATGGAATGGAATATATAATTTTATATTTTAATATTGCATTTGTATTTATATTGTTTGGAATATTACTATTAATGTATACTAATTTATTAACGATTATGACAGCTGATCACTCAATACTGCTGGAACCCTATTATTGCTTAGAAACCCTTTTTTTTGGATATTGACTAATTCCATGACCATTCATTTTGAATATGTATGCATACATATTTATAGAACAAAAATTATTTTATTATAATAAAGATTCTGGGCTTTGCTGACACCTATTGTTCCCCAGGACCACAGCAAAATGGCGACTGCGGTGTTTTAATTATATGAATTAGCTATAATTTTTGGCAAGAATAACTAGTCCGGTCCCTGTAGACCTGGATGTGATCTTCTGGTCTTCTTCAAAATGGCGCCCCGACCGCGCACTCGCTAGGGGCTATATTAGGCCATGACGTCGGCGGCAGGCAGATTCCTTTGACAACGTGCATGCACACGAAACGCGCCAGACGGAGCCTTGACGTATTGACGTCATGCCACCGAGGTTGCATGGAAGACCGGCGGCCATCTTTGTAAGTGTGTTGCCTATACTCTGTATCCACGTGGATGTTCCTTTTTTACAATAAAATACTACACTATCAATACTCCCGTTGTGGCTTGTATATGCGAGCCATTTCATTTAAGGTGGAATACATCACTTTTGACAACATTTAACCATGGTGGAGAGGTACAAGTGGAGCTATCCCTGTATGCTGTGAGGTTCCAGTGATTGATGCCTGGGGTCTTTTCCTGTGTGCTGTCATTAAGCCAGTGGAGTTCCTTTCCTGTGCCCAGATGCTCACCGTGGAGTTCTTGGATATGATTCTACGCGCAATTTTATTGCGCTTCTGGTGAGTGCATTCATACAGCAATCCCTTATCACGGAGTCACGTGCTTGGATGTTTTACAGAATACTTTGGACTTTTGCTCATCAATATTTACAAGTGTATCACCATAATAATTTGTTTGGGACTATTCACTATTGTCACTATTAAATATTCCAGTCACTATTCATCTCGTCAACATCTGACGAAACACTTTATATTCTGTGGTCACTCCAGCGCTAAACCATTTTGTGCTTCACTTTTACATATTGTCACTTTTATAATTTTAAACACTGCATTATTTATTTACTTTAGTCACATTTGAGGATATAGGGGTTCATCCTTTGATGCTAGCTGCTTTACAAAAATGGTGCGCTCGCTTGCTAC